AGGTTGGCTGCTCCATGTTTCTTAAAAAAAATAAAAATTAAAAATAAAAAAAAATTGAACAAATTTGAAAAAAGGAAAAATTTCATAAAGGTTCGTTCAGTGTGTGCCAGGCAGGCTGCTCCATAATTCAGATTCAGATTCCTTATTCAGGTAAAGGTACATCCATTGAGTTACATACAAAATGATGGCTTTAAAGATAGAGATAGTACATACAATACCTAAAGCCACTAGTATGCATAACGTTTCGGGCAATTAATAAATAATTAATATTTTATACTGTATTTATAAAATTATTATTATTTTTATATTAATATTTTTATATTTATAATTAATAAATAAATGAAAAATACAAAACAAATTGAACACATTTGAAACAAAGAAAGATTGTTATAATAGAGCAGCCTACCTGACAAACACTGAACAAACCTTTATGACATTTTTCCTTTTTTCAAATTTGTTCAATTTTTTTATATATATGAAACATGGATCAGCCTACCTGACATACACTGAACGAACCTTTCGCTATAAAAAATGAAAAAAATATAAAAAGTTGAGAAAAAGAACAAATGTCATAAAGGTTTGTTCAGTGTATTTCAGGTAGGCTGCTCCATGTTTCTTAAAAAAATTAAAAAACAAAAAAATTAACAAATTTGAAAAAATAGAAAAAATGTCATAAAGGTTTGTTCAGTGTATGTCAGGTAGGCTGCTCCATTATTTAAAAAGTTGAATGTAATATTGATGTTTTTCGGTGGTGAAACGGATTATTTTCATTTCCAATATTTTAAATGAGGAAATTCATTTTGAAAGACGAGCATTTCACATGACGAGCTCGGTGCCTGAACGGATTAAATTCATTAATCGAGGTTCCACTGTACTGTACAGTACTTACAATCTTACCTCAGTGACAGGCAGCAGTATGTTTCAGTAAATGCGGTTATTTCTCCCACTCTCCCAATTAATTAACATTTGGCGTTCCACAGGGTAATATACTTGGTCCACTCCTCTTTCTCATGTCAATGATCTTCCAAATACTACACAACATTTGAAGGCAATTCTATTTGCTGATGATACAACCTTCATTTTCTCACATGCTAACCAACTTATTCTAAATGCAATAGTGAATACTGAACTTAATCAAGTACATTTGTGGTTGAGTGTTAACAAAATTACCCTTAACATTGACAAGATTTTTTTTATATTTTGTTGGTAACAAGTCCAACAATCAAATTGTTCTAAGAATAAAAATACCCAAATTGCAAGCAGAGTAGATGGGAAGTTCCTTGGTATTCACATTGACAACAAGCTAAATTTCCACTGTCATGTACAAGATATTACCAAAAAGGTTTCTAAAACAGTAAGCATTGTCACTATCTGATACCATGTTTCTTGCTCTGCCCTAGTTACCCTGTATTATTCACTCATTTATCCATATCTCACCTATGATATCTCTACATGAGGATCCACAACCCATAATTACCTCCAACTCCTAATTACTTAAAAAAAATCAGCAATTAGAACAATTACAAATTCCAGTCCCAGACTCTGCTCCTTTACTGAAATCCTTGAACATGATAAATATCAAGTTTCTGCACATACTCTCAAGTGTTCTCTATATCTATAAAACTCTAAATTGCAAGGCCAATCCTGACCTTATGCACTTCCTAGAAGGCTGTAATAGAACTCACGGTCACCACACAAGAAACAAATATCTCTTTGATATTCGTAGAGTGAGACTTAACCAAAGCAGAAATGCATTGCAAATCAAAGGGCCCCAAATTGTGGAATGACCTCCCAAATTTTATTAAGCTGTACATCTCCCAACCAGTTTAAAAGAGAGACTAAAATATTTACTTAATATCTTATAATCAATACCATGTAACTAATTTCATTCACACTTTCCCTTATTCTAAATTATTTTTGTGTTACTCTTTTCTCAAATTTTTATCTGCTGGGTATTATGTACTTCCTGAGTTATTGTCATCTAATTTCTTGCATTTCTTTGTTAAAGTGTTTACTTATGTCCTTTATGTTCCTGGTTCATTTAGTGTTGGGCCCATTGACTTTAAATTATCATATTACTCGATTTTCTGTTCGAAACAGAAAATTTTCTGTTCGAAAATTATGCCCGAAACGCTTTGCGTAATAGTGGCTTTAGGCATTGTATGTACTAGCTCTATCTATAAGTCAAACAATCCTTGTAAATATTTATTGTATGTATGTACCTTACCTAAATAAAATTGTATTGTAAAATTGTATTGTAATTGTATTGTATTGTAAACAAAATGTTATGAGAAAGAGTATAGTTGCTCTTTTAAACTACACCCTATATTTCTGTTCTGTTATTACATAATGTAATTAAACTACTGAACTGTTGCTTCAACTGCTGACTTCATATTGTAATAGTCTATGCCTGTCATCCATAAGTCATCCTTAAGTGTCACATCTTTTGCATTCATTGGTTATTTTCCCCTCAAACCTTTATACAAAAATTTTGTTTATTTGTGTTTTTGTCTAAAACACTTTGGGTAATAGTTGCTTCATAGATTGTGTAACTCCTGTCCCTACAATTTGTTCATTACTCCTTTATCATCTCAAGGCATGACACTGTTGATATGCTTGCTAAGACAGCCTGCAGAAAACCAGTGGTAGAAATTGATATGGGTGTTTCATTAGCAGTGACAAAGAGAATACTTAAACAAATATCTAATGAAAATCTCACCGACCTAACAAATTCACAAAGACCTGAAAGTTGTAGCATTAAATATTATGATAGATATCGTGAGGAGACATTCACATATGGGACTAATAGAACAAGAACCCGGCAATGTGATGTTATAGTGGCCAGAATACGCCTGGGATATAGACGTATCAGGCAGCTTTCTCAAAACCCAAATGTCGAGTACACAATGTGTCAACTTTGTGAAAGAGAAAACATGCACTCTCTTGAACATTATATTGTAGAATGTCCCATACTGACTGACTTTCGCCCTCCTGGGCTAAGGTATGCTGAACTCTGTAGTTACTATATGAGTACCGGAACACTTGATGATATATTGGACTTGTATCCAAGATTGACCATGTAATATATCACTTATTCAATGTTATATTCAATATATCATTTATTCAATGTTATATGATGTAACTATATAACCTGAGCTTGTAAAAGCACCTTCATCACCTTCAGTGATTAAGTGCTTAATTGCACACTAGTTTCTTTATCAGCTATCTCACCCTGTCAGAGTAAATGAGACAGATGTACAGTATGTGAATGCATGTGTGTGTATATGTATGTATATGTATGGGTATAAAGTATATATGGAAGCTGATCAGAATTACATTTCACCTTTGTGAATGTACATTAATGACACTATGTAAAAGACACATCAAACACTTTATGTAGGGCATACGTAAATCTGTGTATCTATGTATTTACGTATGTAGGTTAGCTTAGCATTTTAAAAGCACCGAATCACCTTCTGTGGTTGAGTGTTCAATAAACCCCTGAACTCTATGTTTAACATTTCTCTAACCCTGTCCATGGAGGACAGAAGAAAATGTATATATGCTAGTTAGCATTGTAAATGTGTGGCCACGTCTGTGGTAGAAAATAATAAAAAAAAAAAAAAAAAAAAAACTCCTTTATTCTTTGTACACACATTCTTTTGAATAAAATTGTATTGTATTTGTATATTGTAAGGGTTAATAATGGAGGGCAAAACAAAAGGAGAATCACTAGAGAATTTTCAATCATTAGATTTGCCATCACTAGAGAGAATGGCAAAGATAATTATTAGTGCTATTACAAGTGCAGTATAAGGTATATGGGGCATGCCACAGAGGAAGAGATAGAAAATATAGTTACAAACCTTGCTAGACAAATCTACTCAGTTCAAGTGCACAGGAATGAAGTGCTTTTGCTGTACTGTATTCTGTATATGCTATGGGCACTGCTATCATGTACAGTACATACATAAGGAAGAAAACAACATTGGATGGCAATGTATAGACTCATCAGTCATTAATTAAGCATTGGTTAAATTAATGCTTGAGAAGTATAAATTTTGGCCTGCTTTATCCTGCCCAATTCACCTATTCACTCATTATCATCACTTACCCTCCCAACTTATTTTGCTGTATTATCACTATCACTGTGTAACTATGATAGTGATCAGCCTTAGAGTTGTCAGTGCCCTTACAGACAAAATGTTATAAGAGCATAAGAATAAAGGGAACTGAAAAAGGCCTATTGGCCATACGAGGCAGCTCTTATTTATAACCACCTAATCCCATTCATATACATGTCCAACCCACGCTTGAAACAATCAAGGGACCCCACCTCCACCATTCCATGTGGCAACTGGTTCCACAAATCAACAACCCTGTTATCGAACCAGTTTATACCCATTGTTTCGTGTTCTGTCTTATGATGATACTTTTAATACCCTATTAATATCCCCTTTGTTTTGTCCATTCATCCACTTGTAAACATCTATCGTGTCATCCCTAACTCTTCGCCTTTCCAGTGAATGCAATTTAAGCTTTGTTAATCCTTCTTCATACGACAGGTTTCTAATTTGGGGAATTAACTTTGTCATCCTACGCTGGACACGTTCAAGTGAATTTATGTCCATTCTATAGTACGGCGACCAAAACTTAACAGCATAATCTAAATGGGACCTAACTAGAGCAAGATATAGCTGAAGAACAACACCAGGTGTCTTGTTACTAATACTTCGATTAATAAATCCCAGTGTCCTATTTGTCTTATTACGAACATTTATGCATTGATTTTTTGGTTTTAAATTCTTACTAATCATAACTCCCAGATCCCTTTCACAATCTGACTTATCTGCAAATAAAATCTACTGTCAGTTTTATGTTTCTGTGTATGGTGGATACATGCAACTGACACAAGGTGGTGTTCTGTGCATGTTATCTACCCTATTGTTATGAGCAAACATTGCCCTGTAATAAAGTGTAATACTTGGACTAATTTCCAGCAAAGGTACAGCAGGATGGTGCGGCTCAGAGTCAGATGCCGTTGTGTTACCCTAGCAATTTTAGTCTCACAGGTGAGTAATCTGAACACTTGTGAGGTTTTATGTAATAGTTGCTTAGAGTTGTACTTATTAATTAAAATTATGCTTGTACATATGAAGCTGAAACCTTATTTAATTTTTGAAAATTGCTGCATACTTTATATTAATCTTTACAGGTGGCATTAAAGTGAGTTATTTAATGATTATAAGTAAACCATTTGGGAAAGAAGACCAGTTACAAAAAATCATCTACACCAACTTTATGAAAGGATCTATCAAGTAATATAGTTTGCCAGGGTTATTGAGAAATACAGAACATGATATTTGACCATCCTTTTAACACTCAATGGATGCACAGTTGCTCAAGTGGCTGTGTGGGAGCCTGAACTTTGCCTGCGTGATTTTACCCTGGGCAGGGTTTGGCTCCGGGCTTTACCCGTTTTCTCTTGTGTCATCACTTTTACTGCCACAGTGACCATGAGATGCTGGCTCTGTGGGCCCTTCAACAGCTTCTGCTTTGCGAGTTTCCTCTTTGGGCTTTTTGAGATTTGGTTCTGTTGGGCCCTTCTTCCCTGTCACTTGACTTTTTTTTTTTTATGGACACCTTCACCTTGGCCCTAGTATGAAGCTTTGTAGCCATCACTCATCAGGCTTCTAAGGGCCATTGAAATTTAAATAAGTTTATTTAGGTATAAATACACACAAAGGGATGAGGTAGCTCGAGCTATAGCTCACCCCGTTCATTTACTCCGAGAATACCCAGGGCCATTGGGTAGATCCACAGCACGGTTTATGAGTTCATAGTGGTTTGGTATGCTCAGGTGCTCATTTTTTTCCTTCATCCTGTATGATCCAGCTCCACTTTGACTGCTCCCTGGTGGTTCATTGTCTGAATTGCAGGAGTAACTTTGGCGCCTTCCAAAGTCTTGAAAGAATTCTTGTTTTTTTTGTTCTCCACAAGGTTCATATGCAGGACATGTCCAATGTTCTCTTGGCATAGGCTTATAAATCCCTATTAATACAATGTTTTTGTTATAGTAAGCAATGTAAACTGAATATGAACATGTTCAGACCATGCAAGATTTCATTATAACGAGGTTCATGTGAGTGAAGTCCCTCTGTACATGTGTTGCCTCGCCTCAGAAGTTGATATTTTTACCCCAAGTTATATATGATTTTATGTGTTCTTTATAAATAAATTTGATTAAAACTGTCATTTGTTATAGTTGTAGACTTAATGAGCACCTTACTGGCTATTGAATCATTTAATAACCTCAGTCATTTCATCACAGAAATCTAATACAAGATACTGTATATATATTTTTTTGGGGTGTGCCCCTCTTACGGCTCCTTGATGCCATCTCACTCAGATGGCCCCTATAACTACTACATTGCATCAGGTGTTGAGTTCAAATTGGCCTACCGGGGACCAGTATCAGAACCTGGCCACCACTCACACAGGTGACAAGGTGACACTTCACCATGTCTCTAGGGAACGCACCAGAAAGTCAGCGAACTTATACAGACCACTGGTGGGTTCAAAGAAACCAAAGTTTACAACCTGCTGAATGAACTTCCCCCAACAATGTAAACAAATGGTTAGAAATATCTGAAAACAACGATGCACGCATTTGCCCCATCCATTTCACTTGTTTGGGTAGGGAGGTGGGGGGGGGGTGCTGGCCCCAGACTGTCCACTGGCTCAAGCATCAGTTCTTCCACTGATGTGATGCCTTCCTGACATCTGCAGTAGGGCTCCATGGTCGTCAGTAAGCCGTGGCTGACCTCGATGCTTTTCAGCTAAGTGCTTCTCTGGACTTTGTCCTGTGTGCTTTGTTTTATACACTGTGGTTTAGCATGGTCTTGGCTTTTATAGTACTGTACTTAGAGCTGCATGTGTTCAGGGTTTCCTTCCCTGAGTGCATTCTGGTGCTGCTTCTGCACTGACAGAGTTCTCTGCTCTGGTGTATTCGGAAGTTTGCTCCCTTCGGGATCCTTCCTGCTTGGGGCGGTCCTTGCCTGTGGTGAGTCAGGAGTCTAGTTGTGCCTCTTTCTTGACCTGGGTCAGGAGCAAGTGTTGGCTGGTGAGCCGCTATATATGGCTCGCCGAGGTCAGCCTTCACAATTGTGCAGCCCAGGCTGTGTTGGCTTACTTTTAGGTCCAGCATAGCATTTCCATTGCCTGGGTATCCTGCTTGGTTTACCCTTCAGGCCTTGGAAATCCTCTACGGGTTTGGATGGTCTGTGGATATTCCTTCCAATCTCAGTCTCGATTCATGCAAGTTTGAAGGTTGTTCATCATCCCTACCATGGGGTGACGTTCATTTGTTCTGCCTCCACCATGCTGCCTGTTGATTTGACAGCAGGCTACAACTTAGAACTGTATGGGTTTGCACTTCCCATGTGGTTCACTTATATCTGACCCACCTACTATAGTTAGTGCATATCAGATGGCTACGGGTTTCTGGCAGGTTAGTTTTGCCCACTTGCCATGGTCTAGGTTGTGTGCCCAGCTCGATGCCCCGGAGTTGACCCACCTGGTGTTTAGAGACCCGGAATTGGAGCTGTTGAACTCTACCTGCACTCTGTCTGTACCTTGTCTTCCTTCCCCTTTTGGTGTGGTTCTTCCAGACACTGGCCCTGAAGTGTCTGAGGGTTCCCAGATCAGGGCAGGGTTTAGCTTTTGATGTGGCTTTGCCGCCTCTGGGGACAGCTCTTTTTCGATTTGGTCATGGAGACTGCTGAGGTTTTGAAGTTTACTGTACAGCCACCCCCCCTCTTCTGAAACCTGTCCCTTGGGCTCTGCTTTTCTATCCCAGGTGGTGGGCAAGGATTGGTTGGCTTGTAACAACCAACCTGGCGTGTTGCAAGAAGGAGAATCGAGCATGGAACACAGCCACTGCCTGGTTCCTGATATCAACAGACAAGGAATAAGTAAATTGAAGCACAAGCAGGGGAACAAGTCCCACAAGACTCCGGGTCGTAGGTGTCGCCAACCCAACAGGCAGCATGACAGAGGCAGTACAGTTGATAGTCACCCTGAGGCAGGGGCAATGAGCAACCTTCAACTTCACAGAAGGCGAGAGGCAAGATTCCCTTGTTTTTTATTTTTCTGAAGAAGTATCCATGGTACTACCGAGCCCCCCCCCCACAGAGGTTTCCAGGGTCCATAGGGTATATATTGAGGTTATCTTGAGATGATTTTGGGGCTTTTTAGTGTCCCCACGGTCCGGTCCTCGACCAGGCCTCCACCCCCAGGAAGCGGCCTGTGACAGCTGACTAACACCTAGGTACCTATTTTACTGCTAGGTAACAGGGGCATAGGGTGAAAGAAACTCTGCCCATTGTTTCTCACCGGCGCCCGGGATCAAACCCGGGACCACAGGATCACAAGTCCAGCATGCTGTCCGCTCGGCCGACCGGCTCCTACATGAGCCCTAGGGAAACCCAGGCACTGGGGCCAGCTAAGCCAGTAGAATCACTGTCTAGTAGCAGGCAAGCTGACTAGCAGGAGCAGCCGTTGGCAACAGAGGACTACCACCAAGAGCACCTAGGCTAGCCTAATAAGAGGCTAGGCAGACCTCCACTGTCTACTCATGGAAAAACACAAGAAACAGAAATAAAAAGCCTCTGAAGAAACTCAACAAGCATACTGGCAGCCAGAGAGAAGCATCGGCTGCCTCATTGTAGCAAGGCAGGCTGCACCAGCCGCAGTGCACCTATACCCAGCCAGTACCACTTTCCCACCTGGGGCAAGACGGAAAGCCCAAGACCCCTGACGTTTCCCAAGGGCGAGGACTTCCTCAAGCGACGAAGTCCTCTAGCGGGGAGTGATTCCCGAATGCCCCAGGAAGATAACCCTGAAATGCAAAGGTAGTACAGTGATACCTCGGTTTACGAATGCCCCTGTTTATGAACTTTTCGGGTTATGAGCCCGATTTCTTCGGAAAATTTGAATCGCGTTGCGAACTTTACCTCGGGATAGGAGTTTGTTGATACGCGTATGGTCGACCTAGCACGTGGTGGCACGGCAATCACTATTCAGTTTACCAGTGTCTCCCACCTAGTGACTATCCTGCCTGAATTTTTTGCAAGGATTTACAGTTTCTTTTCAAATTTTTGGCTATTTGAGCATAAAAGTTGTTATATATCTTGCCATGGGTCCCAAGAAATCCAGTGGTAAGGTTCAAGGCAAGAAAACACATGTGAAAATGACCATAAAGGAAAAACAAGAGATCATTCATGAACATGAAAATGGTACACGTGTTGTTGAACTAGCTAGGGAGTAAAACAAATCTTCAGGGGAGGAGGAGGAGGAGGCAGTAGAGGATGTCCCTTCCTTATTAATTAAGAAAATGTGTGCAGTATGGGAAGAACTGCAAAGTTTTGCTGAAAAGAATCACCCAGATAAAGCTTTAGCAGGCCATTGCATTGATCTTATTAATGACAATGTGATGTCTCACTACAGACAAGCGTTTCAAAGAAGGGAAAAACAATCTTCAAGAAAAACTGAGAAAATCATGCAGTGAGCCAGAAGCAGGTCCTAGTGGTATGCAGGCAAAACGTGCCAATGTGTGTATCCCAGAGAAGTCATCACTGCCTAATGTTATACAGTAATGGAAGGGGACTCCCCTTCCAAACAGTAACACCTCTTCTCCTCCCCCCTCCTCACCGTCTTCCATATGCCAACAGGAGTCATCAGTAAAGGTAATAACTTGTACATACTTTTGTAGTGAAGATTTGGATGAATTAGGTATAAACTTTACTTTGAAGTGAATTTTTTGGGGAGTCGGGAACGGATTAATTAATTTCGCTGCTTGGCGTTGGGCCGCCCCGAGTGTTTGGGTTTTTTCTCCCTTGTTTACCTTGGGGTAAGTAGTAGTTATAGCAGTGGTGGAGCGCGGGGTACTGTGTAGCTAGTTTTCACCTATAACAGCGGCCGGCTCTGTTCCCTCTGGGTACGTTGTCCACTTGCGTGGTTTTTCTTTTCTTTTTGTTTTTGCCTGGTGGGGGGTCTGCCTTGTGTTCTCCCT